ACGCGGTCTTACCAAGTTGCCAAGGCTGGTCTCGAACTAGTGGTTTCAGGCAGTCTTGTCACCTCGGCCTCCCAAAGTGTTGGGATTATAGGCTTAAGTCACTGTGCCTGGCAGGGATTCATACTCTTAGGGAATCCCCTCCCCTTGAGTGTTAGCTGACCTGGTGACTTCTAATGAACAGAGTATTGCAAAAGTGGTGGGAGTTCCCTTCTGAGATTAGACTGCAAAGGGACTGTGATTTCTGTCTTGTGTGTGCCCCCTTGTGCTCTCTCTGAGGGAAGCCAGCTACTGGGTGAGCTGCCCTGTGGAGAGGCTCATGTGCCAGGGAGTGGGGGGAGGCCTTTGGTCAGCAGTCAGGACGACGCGAGGCCCTCAGTTCATAACCTTGGAGGGATGAATCCTTCCAATGTCCATGTGAATGAGCGTGGGCGTGAACTGTCCTAGCTAAGCCTTCAGATGAGACAGCAGCCCTGGCAGACACCTGGACTGCAACCTGTGCAAACCTTGAGGCTGAGCTCGGCCATGCCCATATTCAGAACCACAGAGACTATGCCATAATAAATGTTTGTCTTTTTAGGTGGCTAGGTATTGGGTTAATTAGTTATGAAGAAGTAGAAAACAAATACCATCTTCTACCACTAAGAAGAGCCCCCCTTCCCTTGCTTGGAGACTTTGGATTCCAGAGGCGGCATATATCATATTTAACTTGGCCACCAAGCACTTACTGGGTAACTTGGAAGTGTGTGTTGAGTTCTGAGTGGGGCCCAAAGCAGGAGAAGTCTCTGCGGAGGTCCAGTCTGTAGTACAAGCTGTCCTGCACCTGGGCCCTGTAGCTTGGAAGGTCCAATAGTGCTGGAGATGCACATGGCAGATAAGACTCTGTGGGGTCTTTGGCAAACCCCAATGAGAGAGTCAAAGCTCAGGCTCCGAAGTTTTGGAATAAAGCATTCAGAGGATTACACACCATGCTAAGAAGCTCCCTGTGTGCTGCTGGTCCTTGTAGAGACTGAGCACCCGACCATGGACATCATGTTAGCACGTGGGGAAGCTGCCCATCACGTGTATTTTCAGATCCACAAGGTTGTAATGTTGGGTGAGTGAGTCAGCAATCCGTTATTCAATGGCAGTGGTATACTGTGTTTCTTGTCTTTCTTCCTTTCTTCCTCTCTTTCTTTCTTTTTTTTTGTTGGAGTCTCACTCTCTCGCCCAGACTGGAGTGCAGTGGCCGCTCCCGGCCACTGCAGCCTCGACCTGCTGGGTTCCGGCGATCCTTCCGCCTCAGCCTTCCAAGTACTTCTACAGGCACACACTTACCACGCTCGGCTCATTTTTGATTTATTGTAGAGATGAGGTCTCACCAAGTTGCCCAGGTGAGTCTCGAACCCGTGGGCTCAGGCAATCCACTCACCTCAGCCTCCCAAAGCATAGGATTACAGGCTGAGCCACTGAACCCGGCCGTGTTTCTTGATTTTCTATCACATCGTCTCCATGTATGCATAGCTATTTTTTATGGAGTGCTGGACATGAGCAATTTTAATTTGGGGCCTAGATTATTACCATCTTCTAGAAATAGTTTGTCTTTTCTCTCTCAGCTGACTAGTGGCACCAGCAATAAATCCTGAATCACTTGAATGCAAGTTCAGAAATTTAGGTGAATTTTCTGGGTCAGTGGCTAACACCTGTAATCCCAGCACTTTGGGAGGCTGAGGTGGGAGGATTGCTTGAGCCCAGGAGTACAAGACCAGTTTAGGCAACATAGCAAGACCTTATCTCTACAAAAAAAAATTTTTTTTTTGAGTCGGAGTCTTACTCTGTCGCCCAGACTGGAGTGCAGTGGCCGCTCCCGGCCACCGCAGCCTCGACCTGCTGGGCTCCGGCGATCCTTCTGCCTCAGCCTTCCAAGTAGCCGGAATTACAGGCACGCGCTACCACACCCGGCTGATTTTTTGATTTATTGTAGAGATGAGGTCTCGCTGCCCAGGTGGGTCTCGAACCCGCGGGCTCAGGCAATCCACTCACTTCAGCCTCCCAAAGTGCTGGGATTACAGGCTAAGCCACTGAGCCCAGCTACAAAAAAATTTTAAAAATTAGCCAGGTGTGGTGGTGCACACCTGTAGTCCCATCTATTCAGCAGGTGGAAGTGGAAGGTTTGCCTGAACCCAGGAGGTTGAGGCTGCAGTGAGCTGTGATCATGCCACTGCACTTCAGCCTGGGTGACAGAGTGAAAAAAAAAAAAAAAATTGAGGTGATGTTTAGGTGGATCTCATAAAGTTCCTGCAAGGGCTGGTCTACTTCTGGGTCACATTCACTTCTACAGTATAGCCTTTCAGGGTCTCAACCAAAGATGGAGCATTTACAAGAACCCTTCCCCCTTAGTAGCCCTGGACTCTGGTTCCTCAACTCACAAAACTCAAAACCTCTGTTCAGGTTCTCAGCCTTTCGATGCCTTTTCCAATACTGATCTCTGAATGAAAAGTGGACCTAAATATTGGGTTTCCTCTCTGCATTTCCTTTTTCTTCTGTTTTTTTTTTTTTTTTTGGCTCCATCATATTTTACTTCTAGATTGGCTCTGTGTTAGCCAGGTGGGGTGGTGCATGCCTGTAGTTCCAGCTAGTTGGAAGCCTGAGGGGGAAGGATCGCCTGAGCACAGCAAGTGGAGGCTGTGGTGACTGTGAGCATGCCACTGCACTCCAGCCTGGTCAAGAGTGAGACTTCACCTCAAAAAACAAAACAAAAAATTGGCTCTGTGATGCCATAAAACTGATTTTTTAAAAAATGGCATATATATATATAAAATTTTAATTTTTTATTATTTTTTTTATTTTTTGAGTTGGAGTCTCACTCTGTCGCCCAGACTGGAGTGCAGTGGCCGCTGCTCCCGGTCACTGCAGCCTTGACCTGCTGGGCTCCGGCTATCCTTCTGCCTCAGCCTTCCAAGTAGCTGGAACTACAGGTGCGTGCTGCCACACCCAGCTAATTTTTGATTTATTGTAGAGATGAGGTCTCACCAAGTTGCCCAGGTGGGTCTCGAACCTGCGGGCTCAGGCAATTCACTCACCTCAGCCTCCCAAAGTGCTGGGATTACAGGCTGAGCCACTGAGCCCGGCTGATAAAAACTTTTTCAGTGGAGTCCTGTGGTGGTGGCAGGAGCGTGGCTGGAGTGGTCTGAAGCAGAACCTCCAACTACAGTTGATGTGTTGGGACCTACAGCCCACACATTCTCTCTCTGATTATGCACCTTACAGAGACTCTCATGTATGTGCACCAGGAGACAGAGTGTTTATTACAAATTATTTGTAATACAGAAGCTTAGAAACAAGCAGATGAGTTATCCGTAGAGTGAAACCAGAGGACACCAGTTTGCTCTGCAACTTCCCGTCTCAAAAAAGGATCCCCCTTGACTCCACTTTCCCATGTAGTTCCTGCGTCATCTCAGAAGTTAGATGACATAAGCCATCTCCTTTTTCTCCCACTGTGTCTAGATTATTAAATATTTCTAAGAACTGAAAGTTGATGTACCCCATGCATCTACTACCAAGATTAAGCAGATGGTTCATTTTAGCCGTTTTGTTGTTGCAGACTTAACACACACACACAAACACGACTGTAGAGGGAAGCTCCATTTTCACCCTTCACCGCCAACCTTTAGGTATGATTGACTATCATTCTTGCAGATGTATCTTTACTACATTTGCACACGTTCATACACAATGTATACTGTTGGCATTTTAACACGGTATGCAAATAGTATTATAACGGCACCCACTCTATTTTTTAGCACCCCCCTGGTTTTTAAACACTCAGCATGAAGTTTGAGGCACATTCGTGTAGATCCCAACAGCTGTAGCTTATCCGTGTATTTATTTTTAAAACTTTTTTTACTGAGACGGGCGGGGTGCGGTCTCACCACCTCGTCCAGGCTGGTCTCCACCTCCTGACCTCAAGCGATTCTCCTGCCGCGGCCTCCCGAAGCCCTGGAATTACCGGTGTGAGCCTCCACATCTGGTTAACGCCTCCATTTCGGCTGCCATGCTGTACTTCACGCTCTGCACTCACGGCGAAGGTCCCCCAAACCCCAGGGTTCCCGCCGGCCCGGGCACTCTTACCGAGCCCCGGGCGCCGCCCCTCGTGCAGCGGAGCCAGACTCTCGCCGCGTGCGAGGGGGCGGGGCGGGGCCAGTTGCCTAGGCTACCGGCGGCACGCCCCAGCGGCCCCTAGAGATGGCGTCATCATTCCGCGCCAGGAGCGGGCACAGGCCCCGGGCGGCTGCCACTTGCTATTGGTCGGCGGGAAGACGGAGAGACGCTTCGTCCAGTGGGAGGCGCCGCCCTCCTGAAGGCGGGACGGGCGCGTACCCGGGGTCCGGGACCCTGCCG